CATTTCATCTTGCGAGTGACGTTTGTGACGCTCTGCCCATTGGTGAGAATCAGCTCCACTAATGTGACGTGCTGTAAAGGATGTGTTCATCTCCACAGAGGGAAGAGGAAGAGTGGTGTTCCTGTGGAGGAGCAGCTGTCCAGCTGTGCTCTGTGTCAGGACGTCCTGAAGGATCCAGTCTCTACCAGCTGTGGACACTGGTTCTGCAGACAGTGCATCACCTCATACTGGGAGCAGAGACCTCCATCAGGAGACCCCTCCTGTCCCCAGTGTGGGAAAAGACCCAGAACCAGAGCTGGACTGCAGACAGCCAGTCAGACCAGAACTGTACGAGGTAAGAGGCCGAACACATGCAGCGTCTTATTCCTCTTCCTGGTTCATTTGTTTTTGAATAGGTATACTGTTGTAGAGCATAGACAGTAAGCTGTTTATAAAACATTTAAACTCAGTCTGTTTGTTGTTGTTTTATGTTATAATTAGATTCTCAGAGCATTTCCCTCATTCTCTCCCGTTTCCTTCTCTTTCAGCAGATAGTGGTCTGCAGGAGGTTTTAGATGAACATAGGCTCAGTCTGAGGAGGAGATGTGAACGTGTGACTGAAGGAACTGATCAAAGTGAAACCCTCCTCAACAGGATCTTCACTGAGCTCTACATCACACAAGGCCAGAGTGAAGAGGTTAATACCCAACATGAGGTGAGGCAGCTGGAGACAGCTTCCAAGAAGAAGCCCCTCCATGACACTCCAATCAAGTGCCAGGACATCTTTAAAGCCTTACCTGACCAACAGACTCTCATCAGAGCGGTCCTGACCAACGGAGTCGCTGGAGTTGGAAAAACCTTCTCAGTGCAGAAGTTCACTCTGGACTGGGCCGAGGGTTTGGGAAACCAAGATGTCAGTCTGGTGATCCCGCTCTCCTTCAGGGAGCTGAACCTGATCAAAGGGGAGCAGTACAGTCTTCTCAGGCTGCTCCATGTTTTCCATCCAACCTTACAGAAGGTCACAGCAGAGCAGCTGGCTGTCTGCAAAGTGCTGCTCATCTTTGACGGCCTGGATGAAAGCAGACTTTCTCTGGACTTCAGAAACAATGAGGTTGTGTCTGATGTCTCACAGCAGTCCTCAGTCAACGTGCTGCTGACAAACCTCATCAGGGGGAAGCTGCTTCCCTCGGCTCTCGTCTGGATAACTTCCAGACCTGCAGCGGCCAATCAGATCCCTCCTGAGTGTGTGGACAGGGTAACAGAAGTACGAGGCTTCACTGACGCCCAGAAGGAGGAGTACTTCAGGAGGAGATCGAGTGATGAAGACCTGTCCAGCAGAATCATCTCTCACATCAAGAGCTCCAGGAGCCTCCACATCATGTGTCTGATCCCAGTCTTCTGCTGGATCACTGCTGCAGTTCTGGACCACATGTTGACTACAGACCAGAGAGGAGAGCTGCCCCAGACCCTCACTGACATGTACTCACACTTCCTGCTGGTCCAGACCAAGAGGAAGAAGCAGAAGTATGAAGAGGGACATGAGACGAGTCCACAGAAGCTGAAGAAGAAGAAGAAGAAGAAGAAGAAGAAGAAGAAGAAGAAGAAGAAGAAGAAGAAGAAGAAGAAGAAGAAGAAGACGAGTCCACAGCAGCTGACGAAGGCTGACAGGGAGGTTCTTCTGAAGCTGGGGAGGCTGGCGTTTGAACATCTGGAGAAAGGAGACATCATGTTCTACCAAGAAGATCTGCAGCGCTGTGGCCTTGACGTCACAGAGGCCTTGGTGCACTCAGGAGTTTGTACAGAGATCTTCAAAAGAGAGAGTGTGATCTTCCAGAAAACAGTCTACTGCTTTGTTCATCTGAGCATTCAGGAGTTTCTGGCTGCAGTCTACATGTTGCACTGTTACACCAACAGAGAGACAGAGGTACTGGAGGACTTCCTGCAGGGAGACTTTAACAACATCAGTTATCAGGATTACCCATCCCTGCCTGTCTTCCTAAAGAGAGCCATGGAGAAATCCCTCTATAGTAAAAATGGCCACCTGGACCTGTTTGTCCGCTTTCTCCACGGCCTCTCTCTGGAGTCCAACCAGAGACTGTTAGGAGGCCTGCTGGGTCGCACAGACAACAGACCAGAAACCATCCAGAGAGCCATCAGCAACCTGAAGGAGATGAGCAGTGATTATATCTCTCCTGACAGGTGCATCAACATCTTCCACTGTCTGACAGAGATGAAGGACCTCTCAGTACATCAGGAGATCACAGAGTTCCTGAAGTCAGAGAACAGATCAGAGAAGGAACTCTCTGAGATCCACTGTTCTGCTCTGGCCTACATGCTGCAGATGTCAGAGGAGGTTCTGGATGAGGTGAACCTGGATCAGTACAACACATCAGTGGAGGGGAAACGGAGACTGATTCCAGCTGTGAGGAACTGCAGGAAGGCCAAGTAAGTCCAGATGTGATTAACTTTATAAACTAATGTTGATCAGGAGTTTAATTAATCAAATAAACACTATAACATTTCTGCTGTTTAAATACTGAGAGCAAAATAAACCAACACTGATCTTCTATTTATTTATAATAATAGTTAAACTGAAGCGTTCCTCTCTTCATATTGAGTGATGGAGGCGACATGTCAAACACATGAAGGACTTTAGAGGTTTCTCAGCATGTGATCACACCACACAGCAGGACTTACAGTTATCACAGAAATATGTTATTATTACTTTCTAGTAGTTTCTTTATCATTAAACACGTTTTTATCACAATGTGTTACAGTTTAAAATCAGATCTATATCATTTCCCACCAATAACAGAGTTATGTCTTAATGCTGATATACTGGGAACATCTGATGGTATTCAGTTGAAAATATTGAAACTTTATTAGTTTGTTAATTGTGTTTGTTTGCGCAATAAATGTTCAGATGCTCAGAGAAGCCAAAACATCCTTCATCCATCATTCACATCCACATATTAATTACCATTTAAATATGTACATCTCTAATATTGTCAAGTGATTCATTTAATTTCTGTTTCTTTTGGTAACAGTCAGTGACAGCAGGAGCACAGACATGTGATCAGATCACACTGACAACTCATTACACTATATTATCATATATTATTATATTATTCTATTAAATGGACTAACAGCAAATGTCTATCAGAACATGTCAAATATTTTTTCATCAAATGCTTGATGTTAATATAATGTTTCCTCTTTTTTTAACACATGTTGTAATATATGTTTTATTATAGACTTGCTGGCTGGGGACACTCAGAGCCTGTCTATGAAGTCGTGGCCTCAGCTCTGAAGTCTGACCCCTCTCATCTGAGAGATCTGGACCTGGGTGGGAGCACTCTGGATGATTCAGTAGTGGAGCTGCTGATTTCTGGACTAAAGAGTCCAAACTGCAGACTGGAGGCTCTCAGGCCAGTTCACTGACTGAACTTCATATTGTTCTGTTATTGTATCTGTTTGTGTTTAAGATTTTCTGAATTTGAACAAATACAATGTTATTGTTATTTGTTCCGTTTTTGCTAATGACTGAATATTGATCAGAATAACAAAGAGAAGGTGAATGTGTGAGGGAGAGTGTTTGAGCTTCCACAGACTCACTCTGTGCTCCATGAGTCAGTGGAGATGCTGTCAGTACTGATGAGCTGTGAGGGAGATAAAGGAGTTGTTAAACATCTGATCAAAGTTAAAGTTCCAGATTATCAGTGGATTGTTTCTGCATCATCTCTGACATTAAAACCCTGTTTAACTCTGAACAGATTATTAAACCTGGAGTTATTTCAAACAGGAACATTGTTTTCTAAAGTTACATCATGTTTTCTTTATTCAGACTGGAGGACTGCAGGTTGTTAGAGATCAGCTGTTCTGCTCTGGCCTCAGCTCTGAAGTCCAACATCCATCTGAGAGAGCTGGACCTGAGTCAGAACGATCTGCAGGATTCAGGAGTGGAGCTGCTGAGAGATCTTCTGGAGAGTCCAGACTGCAGACTGGAGACTCTCAGGTCAGTTCACTGACTCTCTGTTACTGCTGGAGATCTCACATGTTCACTTTGTAATTGAACCTCATTTATATTCATTAATAACTTACATCCATAAAGTTTTAAATGTCCTTATATTCATATTTCCTTTTAACGTACTGAAGTAAGAACTGCAGACATACATGTTGAGTGTTTCTTAAAGTAACTGTAATAGATGTTAGTTGTAAAAAGTAAATCTATTTATTTAATATTTAGTAAACGATAACATCTGAATAAAGGTCATCTGAAGTCATTTTAGTTTTAGATGATAAAGTTTACTTTCTGAAGTAGACATAATTTTCTGTTCAGATTCATTTAAATGTTGAGTAACATCTGATTGGATTATAAACAGATTTGTATCCTCATCATGTTTTCTTTATTCAGACTGGAGGACTGCAGTTTGTCAGAGATCAGCTGTTCTGCTCTGATCTCAGCTCTGAAGTTCAACATCCATCTGAGAGATCTGGACCTGAGACTCAATGATCTGCAGGATTCAGGAGAGAAGCTGCTGAGAGATCTTCTGGAGAGTCCAGACTGCAGACTGGAGACCCTCAGGTCAGTAAGGGGTCTCTGCTGGTTCAGCAGTATTGTATGAAACACAGGGAGGTGTTTCTCTCACTGGGGAATCACAACAGATCAGTGATGTTACCCACTGACTGCAGGCTCTTTCATTCTTCCATCAACTATAGAAGGCCAGCTGAAAATGCAAAGCCACATTTAGTAAGTAATCAACTTTCCACCAGACATATGGGATTTGACAGAATAGTGGAAAAGGTAGTGTGTTTTTGATGGGATGTTTTTAGCTCCTTGACTAATGACTGTTACTTCCTGTAATGCAGCTGAGAGCTGTGGCAGTCAGTCGTAGTGTTTGCAGAGAAGATATGATGGGATGTAAAGCATGAGATCAGTCAGGACTCTGAAGCTGACTCAAAGAACAAACACTTATTTTAAACTGGATCCATAACTGTTGGATTGTGTTCATCCCTACAGGATCAGAGATGATGAGACGATCAGAGCCAAGATCCAGAAGAACTGTGAGTACTGAATATCCTCCATTCATCAAGATATGAAACTCTTTCATGGAGCATGTCCTCAGAGGAAAACAACACTCTTGTTTTTCTCTCTTCATCATTTTGGCTCTTTCTCTTCACAAGAACTGTCTGTCAAAACAGTGACGTGTGAGTAGAAGTAGAAGTACTTAGATATTGTGCTCGAGTACAAGTAGAAGTACAAGAGTGTACAGATGTAGCAGCTAATTTAGGACAGTTTGAAACGCGAGGGTCGTGGTCGGCCCGTGAACGGCCCGTGAACGGCCCGTGAACGGCCCGTGAACGGCCCGTGATCAAGAGACTGCCCCCAGTCTGACTTGAGACCGCCCCCGTGATAAATAAATGCAATTATTGTGAAGCCAGCTGCAATGGATCATTGATCAGTGCAGTGGGGTTCCACACTGGAGCTCATGTGAAATCAACTTCGACACAGTAAGCTGGATGTACAGTATGTCTGGTACTAATGTATAGCGGATCTTTGTTAAGATCCATATGTCACGGATAGGATCATAGTCTGTGCTAAATAAGACATGTAATCATTTACAAAACATCACCATGTTGTTATTTAACAAAATAATGTTGTTTAGTCGAAAAAAACGAACGAGAGGAAATGCAGCCGGCTCTTGATTTTTAATCCTAATTTAATCATCATCTTCACCACGATCATTTATGTTTATGTTCGCCGAATTAACATGAAATCACTGACAAATATGAATATTCTGTATTCAACTTCATTAAAACGTTATTAACATGCCTAAACTCAGTAATTCACTAAAAATATTTATATTTTAATGGAGCCTTGTCAGGCAGATCAGGATCCCGACGTGTTATTTTCCCCCACAATGACCAAGTCGCTGCAAATTATCCCGCTTATTACATGGCCACATTCTCAACAAAGTAACGACATGACTCCCAATATTAATTGAAATGCTTTTATGGATTTAGAAAATGTTTTTATTGATTTAAAAAATAGTTGTATGTATTGATTTAAATTGACATGCATCCGCTAAGAAAAATAGTCCGTTGTTACCGTTTTTTAAACAGTCTGAATGCTGTGTGTTTACACACCTAATGGCCCATCAGCCACAGCTCTCCCCCCCCCATTCGTCACTTCCTTTTCAGTTTTTGTTTTTTTTAATCTTTTTTTGTTGTTATTATTGTTACGTCCTGTCTGTATACACGTGCTTTAAAATGTATTGTTTAATTCTACATATTTGTCATATAATAATCAAAATATATGTTTACATAGTCTTTGTCAGCATATTTTTGCCACGTTATGCACCCCTTGCTATCTTACATAATAAAAGTGTCACATTCATGAAACTTGCTCCATTCATTGGTACTAGTCCTACAACTATACCCTAAAAAATGCTTGAGGGTGGGATTAATACAAACATCTTTTTGGGTGGGGTGCATTTTATGACAGGCCTGGTTATCACAATATGCCCCCCCCTTGCTATCTTACAAAATAAAAGTGTCACAGATTGATGCATTTAACTTCAATATAAAGAAAAACATCTTCTGTTGTAACAACAATAACATTATAAATAGTAACATAGCTGAACATGGTATTGCACATTTAGCTTTCAGTGTTACTGACCTGAGATGTTTTCATTACATGAATTAAGGTGACTGAGGCTTTTTAACATAGACTTTTCAGTGTCCCACATTTTGCACAGAACTGTCCCACATTAGGAAATGCAGATTGTCTGAGACAACTTGGCACTAAGGCCTAGGCTCCACGGGAACGAAAACGGGTTGTATCCGCATATTTCTCTTGCGTATAGCCCTTTTTGCTACACGACGCCGTAACGGAACGGTAGAAACGGACCCTGCAAACGACAACGGGTCCAAAGGTGGATAGATCTGGGAACGGAGCGCTCTGGGGGGTCCAACGGGGCCGTGTGGTAGCCTATACGGTCATCCGTTTCTGATAATGACGACGCAATAGCCCCGCCTCTCCCCACCTCTGCTGCTCACCCCCGCAAAAGTACACTGCACACTGAATTCAGATTATTTATCTTTATCTCGATATGGACATAAACGCGAGTGAAGTCTAATCTGACAGGACGGAGACACGCAGCTCCTCCCGCTGTGATGCAGCGGGAGCAAAACACACACTTCAAGTCAGATCATCACCCTTAGCTATTTTAATTACCTCTCAAACTACCTAAACTAGTTATAAATATGTTTATTTTTACTGTCGGGTTTACTTACTGGATCAGCTGCTGCATGAGACAGACACTGACGCTGTCAGAAGAGAGGAAAAAGAGACAGGCTCCGTGTATTTTATTATTATATATCATTATATAGAGTCGTTATTCATTTGTTTTAAAGCTCAATAAATAACAAAGAAGACCTTTGACCGGCACTTTTATAATTTTGTCCGGAAGATTTAAACTTTAACACACGTTGACCGGCGAAAAACTCTGCCCGGTTCCCTCGGCCCCCACCGCGGAGAATAAACAGAAGTGCAGCCATGAAAACCATTCTTCTTCGCTGCTTTTGTGGAGGAAGTTGCTGCTTTTGTGGAGGAAGTTACAGCGCCACGTACAGGCTCGGCATATGTACTGCAGCTTTTCCAGCGGTTGGATCTAAACGGAGCTGTCTCGTGTGGCAAGACACTATCCGGTGTATATTGCGTGTGGACGGAAGCTTTTTGGCGATTGCGTTTGCGTTAATCCTATGCGTTTTGCCGTATGCGTTCCCGTGGAGCCTGGGCCTAAGAGTACTGATATGTCTACCATTTCTTTTCTGAGTGTAATATCTGCATTTTCTCTTTTGAAAAACTAAGTCCTAGTTTGGCCACTCATTTTTAATCACACACGTCTCCCCATCCCATTCAAATTCTTGACTGGAAGGGCAGTGTTGCCTACATGTAAATGAATGGCATTGCCTATATGCATTTGAAAATAAATAGTACCCCCCTCTGAGTGACTATCTGTTGACTTCACATCTTGTCGCAAACCAGGGGACTTTACTTCCTGATTTTTGGAATACAAAATAATTTATCTGTGTACGTGTTTTACTGAACGAGCATACTGTACTGTGATCTGCATGCACTTATCAAACATTTAATTAAAGTAGTGAAAACAAATAGTGAGGGGGTCCAAAATCAGCCAACGTGCTTTGTGTTTAATGTTCATCACTATAATAATAAGTACATTATTCAAAAGTTTACATTAACTTTGGATAATAACACGGGAGAAACAGATCCTCTCTTTTCCTCTCTCCCTCTCTCTCTCTCCTGACAGCCCGTCAGTTTCTCATGCCGCTCGCCAAACAGTGGGCGGAAATAATAACAATATTAATTATTTCACACAAAAAGGTTATGACAATATATGACTATTGACGTACAAATAACACTGTCTGTCAATTGTGTAAAATAAGAGGATTAGATTACAACTTGTATTTAGAAATACTCTGTTGTAATTATTGATGCATAAATGTGTTCATCCATTCAATGTGGCATCTGCTATAATGGGGTTAATGTATGATATTACTTAATAATACAATACACTATATAATATATGATATGATAATTACATTTTAATTTGATTCATTTCTTATTTCATAGTTTCTCATCATTATTATAACAGTTCTGTTTCATATGAGTGTTGAGAGCTGTATCCATAAATCTCTTAATTTTGCCCTCAAAGTGCACCAGATTGATGCATTTAACTTCAATTTAAAGAAAAACATCTTCTGTTGCCAAAGTGCTGTACATATAATAAAAATACCCTACAGTAAAGACACTTTACAGCAAATACAACAGCACAGTTTGTTCAGAATATCAGTATGAGTATGAGCACCCTCTGTCCTTAGACCCTCACATCGTACACGGAAAAACTTCCAGAAAAAAACCCACATTTCAAAGGGAAAAATGGGAGAAACCTCGGGGAGAGCAACAGAGGAGGGATCCCTCTCCCAGGATGGACAGAAGTGCAATAGATGCCGTGTGTAAATTGAAGAGATAATACATTTTACAGCGTAGGTAGACCGCATGACAAATAAAGAAGTATAATGTAAACATTTACATTATTATTATGATTATTTAATATATAAAGACTATATATCATTGAATTACAAGATTAGATATACTTTATTTGATCTAAAATATTGATGTGTTCAAATGCTCTTCTAAACAAAACTGAAAGTCCATGAAAAGTTGTCTTCCTGTATTTGTGAATGAAGCGCCATCTCCTGGTTAAATCCTGAAATTGAAAATCTGGCAACGCCCTCTTGGAAAATAGTGGGAGGGCTTAACATTCCCAGATACTGGTCTTAGGCAGGTAGCAGGCAGGAAGCTGTAAGCTGGAGTCTGAAATAAGCTGCTACATCTGTAGGAATACTCTGTTACAGTAAAAGGCCTGCATTCAAATGTTACTCAATACAAGTAGAAAAGTATTAGCATCAAAATATAGTTAAAGTACCAAAAGTAGTCATTGTGCAGATTGGTCCATTTCAGAATAATATAAGTTTAAGATAAGTTTTATAATTATTGATCATATCAGGTATTAAATACATGTAGTGGAGTAAAAGTACACCATGTACCTCTGAACTGTAGTGGAGTAGAAGTACAAAGTAGCATAACATGGAAATACTCAGGAAAGGTACAAGTACCTCAACATTGTACTTAAGTGTGGAGGCGTGTGGCGCAGTGGGTAGAGCGTTGATGTTCGGATCAAGGGAACACAGGTTCAAACCCCACTGCAGTCAGCATGTCGTTGTGTCCCTGAGATACTTCACCCCAAATTGCTCCTGTGGGGATTGTCCACAGTATTGAGTATGTTAGTCACTTTGGATAAAAGCGTCTAACAAGTAACATGTAATGTAAAAGTACAGTACTTGAGTAAATGTACTTAGTTCCCCTCCTGATCTGTAAAGCTCTCCCACCATATGCAGGTTAGCATCTGGCAGCTTCTATGTGCTGGGGACCCGTACTGTACATTTCTCTCATCACACTTTGGGCTCCTCAACATGTGTGGGTTCCCAGCAGGACTCTCTGAGCTGCAGACACATTCTTTCTGTGACTTTGTTCCAGATATTTGGAGCATAATAACTGAAGCTGTTTCTCCATGTTCAGGAACTCCCATCCCCCGAGTCCTGCGGCAGGAAGCGCTCCTTCTCTCCAAGAACTCCTGGACCCTGCAAGCTGCTCCAGAACCAGAGTCCCAGTGAGGAGTCCAGCCAGTCCACCTCTCAGAGTTAAACTAAACTACAACATTATTAAAGATCATGTTTAAAGTTAAAAAAGGATGCTTTCAGACTGAATCCAGAAGTTTCTCAAGCTGCAGTCAAAGCAGGTCATTTGAGGAATATATAAAACAATTATAAAACTGTAATAAGAATTACTCTGAATACTTTCTTTGGACATTTTATTACATTTGTTTTAAACAAATATTTCAAATGTTTCTGACTTTCTATCTGAGTGCTTTTCTCATGAATTAACGACTTCATTTCATTTCCATCTTTATTTCGAACAGATTAAAAAAACAAATAAAAAATAACAAATGTGAAAAACAGAATACCGTATTGTTAGAATACAGTATTTATCAATAATCATATTAATAATAATAATAATAAATCATATGTGTCCGAAAGGGAGCGGGAGGAAGCAAATGCTTATTAATTCCCACCCCTTACTTACCGCTGATCAATGATTATCCTTTAAATCATTTCTGCAAGTTATTCCTACTTACATATTTACATTTATACATACATTTACAATCATTTCTCATCTTCAATCACCTTAAATCATTCTCATAGTTTTCCAAGAAAGTGTTTCTGTACATCCTTTTAAAGTGAATTATATTTGTGCTTTGTTTGAACTCCTGCTCCAAACCGTTCCATCAAATCACCCCACAGATTGTTCTACTCATACTTCTCACAGTTGTTCTGATCTTGAGTTGTTTCAAATGTAGATTTCCTCTCAAATTATACCCGCCCTCTCTGTCTATGAACAATGTTTGTAATTTCCTAGGAAGTAGATTATGTCTTGCTCTGTACATGATTTGTGCCGTTTTAAATGTAACCAGATCAGTAAACTTCAGTGTGTGTGACTTCAAGAATAATGAATGAGTGTGTTCAAGATATCCAACATTATTGATTATTCTTATAGCCCTTTTTTGTAATGTGCATAACGGCTGTAGGTTGGTTTTGTAAGTGTTTCCCCAAATCTCCACACAGTAACTCAGACATGGCAATATGAGTGTATTATACAGAGCATAATGAGTTGTAGTCCAGAATGTGTCTTGCTTTCCCCAATATTGAGATAGTCTTAGCCAGTTTAGCTTTTACATGATTGATATGAGGTTTCCAGCTGATCTTGTGGTCTCAAACCACACCAAGGAACTTCATTTCATATACTCTTTCTATGTTTATGTTATCTAGTATTAATTGCACCTGAGGATTTGTTTTATGTTTTCCAAATAGCATAATATTTGTTTTGCTTAAATTTAATGTTAATTTGTTCTTAAATCTTTTTTTTTTTCTTGTGTATTTCATAAACAGGATATTTGATGTTTTTTATAATAAATATTATTTTCTCAGCTCTGTGATAAAAAAAAACACATTTTTAAAATAAATATCCCACTTCTTGTACTTTTATCCTGATTGATGAGTCAGCAGTAAAGCAGCCAGGCGTTAACGGTCAGCTGGCATGTGTATCTGTTCATTGGCTCATATGTGTAGCATGTTTAATGGCAGTGTGTTGAAAATGGCTGACAGGTGAATATGTCAGATCTCTGTGTGTTACTCAGAGAACCGTGTGCAGTGTTTTAGAAAGTGCAGAGTTGAATTGCAGATTGTGTGCAGAGCTGAAAATGTGTTTAGAGTTCTGTTTGATTTAATCCAGCCAGTTTTGCCACAGCAAAGCATAAGGGCTCAGAGCTTGGACCTATTGTGTTCACATTATATACGCTTCCTTTAGGCAATAAGGAATCACTCGGGACATTTTCATTGTTATGCGGATGATACTCAATTATACACAATATAGACAAAAGTATTGGACCACCTACACATTAGAGAGATACCGCAGGTCCTTCCTTCCTGCAGCGGTCAGACTATATAACCACCACGACCCCTAGTAGACCCCCCACACAACAACACAGACTATAACACCTATTATAATTTTTTTTTTTTTTAATCTGTAATACTTCGTTGTATGCATGCTTTAGGTAACATGGAGCTGTCTCTGGCTCTTTCTGCTGTAACAATGTTCATGTATCCTCTGTGGGACTAATAAAGGGATTCTGATTAAACAAACTAAACATGTACACTTATACTGGTTGTTTTTTCAGTTTAGTTTTTATAGCGCATGGTGGAAAGGAGCAGGGAGAAGTACATCTCATTTTACCTGCCCCTTCTTAAAAAAGAAAAAAATTAAATAACCATAACAAAGTCAAATAAAAGCATTATTATGTCACAGTTACAAATACTGAAACATAAAACCTGAACACAATCACAAGTCAACTTCATACTGTCTAGTTACGCTTTCTTTATACATTTTTTTAATTGTCATGCTGGATTTTCTTGTTCTCCCGTGCAGGTGAGGGCGGCCTGCAAAGCCTTCTGGGTAATATGAGCCACAACCAGCTGATGCAGCTCATCGGACCGACTGGACTGGGCGGGATCGGTACGGAAGAGAAACTCACAGAGTGTAGGCTTGTTTGAGACAAGCGAGACCTGCGCAGACCTGCGCAATTGCGATCAACGTCTTGCTCGTGCGTTGCATGATGGTTAGTCATTTTGTCCGACTTGCTCAGGAGGCTCGCCTACATGAGACGTTGAAATCTCGCGGGACAAAGACGCCCGCAGACTTGAGAGCGAGGCGCAGCGAGGCGGCGCAGTTTCTCTCCCCGGGCTGCGGAAGCGAAATGCTTGATGGGAAACGACTTGCTGGTATCTCGAGCTGAGCGCTCATTGGTGGGTTTTACCCCGTGCTGGAGATGAAACTCTCCATTGGCTCGGCAAAAGTGTGTTGTTTTGTGTCAGTTTTACGTCGCCACTTCCATTCACATTTTTCATCATTGTTCCACAATGTTTATCATCATGACATTAATATCTATATATTTTATACTATACTTGCACTGCTTACCGTTGTCATACTTTATATATCTTAGCATATTCATACAACACACTGTTCATACTAGGCTAGGCTACTGTGTATATAGTGTATTCATACCCCTCACTGTTTTTTCATCATTCAATTAATTCTATATTTTATTCTGTAGATTGTGTACATTACTTTTCACTTTACTGCTTTATGCACTCCTGGTTAGAAGCTAAACTGCATTTCGTTGTCTCAGTACCTGTAATCTGTGCAATAACAATAAAGTTGAATCTAATCTTGAGCAGGAACAAATGTATTTACTTAGTACATATCTGACATTAACGATTAAACACATTTGTCCATTCTTTATCAATCAATCAATCAATGTTTATTTATATAGCCCAATATCACAAATGTTACATTTGTCTCAGTGGACTTCACAGTTTGTACAGAATATCAGTATGACAATACGACACCCTCTGTCCTTACGTTTCACATCATACAAGGAAACACTTCCAGAGAAAAACCCACAGTTTAAAGGGGAAATGGGAGAAACCTCAGGGAGAGCAACAGAGGAGGGATCCCTCTCCCAGGACGGACAGACGTGCAAATAGATGCCGTGTGCATTTATAAATGCAAACCGAGTCAAGCCGACTCCGGAGGTGGCGGTATGCACCTTAAAGTTGTTTGAAATCCGCCAAAAAACCGAGAGAAGAAGAAGAAGAAGAAGCCGACTCCGAGCTGTCCGACTTCAGGCGAGCTTTTTGAGACCTCCCCCGGCTGCGATCGGCTATTCTCGTCTACTTTCGAGGCGAGCCGCAGCTCGTCTCAAACAAGCCTAATATCTGTCGTGGCTTCCTTCCTTATCTTTCTATCAAGCCACTAGACGCTTTAAACAGACATTTTATAACTTACATTACTTACAGTTGAAGAGACGAGAGATGTGTTTGCTCAAAATAAAATAACAAACGTTTACACATGCAAGAAAGAAAAGAGGGCTTTACAATAGTCAAAACAAAGAGGCAACTAAAATAACAAACAACTTAGGTATTCTTTCTTTCTTGATGAGGCTTATATAACATCATAACTTAAAGGGTAATCGAACGGTTAAAAACTGTTCCTCGACGCCGTCCTTCTGACAGGTTTCCCATCTCTGTCACTTTAGAGGAGACGACGTGGGAATTGTAGTCTTTTATACTCTGGTTGACTACAGACGTCACGATTAGGTGGCCTTTCTTATAAAAACGAAATACTGGCTCTAACAATATGTCATGAATGTTATTTATGGTTAGTTTATCTCAGATGATAACATGATGTTTCGCCCTCAGGGGGCCTCGGGGCCCTCGCTGGCCCAGGATTGGCTAACCTGCTGGGCAGCAGCAGCTCCAGCAGCGTCCCTGCAGCCAGCAACTCCTCCACCAGGTCACTTTAAATACACATCTTTTTATAACACTACATTTACTCCAAACAGCTGCTGACGGTGTGTGTGGACTACTTGGTGGCATATATATATTTTTTTTTAAACGTACACGGTTTTGATTTAATTATGAAAGTGTGACCTCAGCTCCTATCAAAAGTCCATAATAAGCGTTTAGCCAAATAAAATATGTTCCATTCGAGACCCATTTTTATAAAATCCATCCCTGTATAATAGACTTGCTTTATATCTTGTTATTGTTCATTTGTAAATTCAACATGTATTTTTTCTACTTTCTTGTATTTTAATTTGTATTGTACAATGCCATGTCTTTTTATGCCGCTGCAACACAAACATGTCCCAAATTGGGATCTATAAGTACTTCAGGGCCCTGGCTTTAGAAATGAACTTGCTACTATTCTCCACCAGAGGGAGACATTTTCCCATATTACCATATACATGCTATTTTCTTGGTTTCTTGCACAAAATAATTAAATGCCAAATAAAATTAAGAAAAGTGTTCAAAAAATATAGAACATTTTTATAATTTGAGTTATTTTATTTTGTTGAAGTGTGTGGAAGTTAAAAATCCTAACAGATGTTTGTTAAACATTTTATTCAGTGGATATTATAGTGATAGGGATAGTGGTGGGCTGAAGATCGGAAGGTTGTGAGTTCAAATCCCACCAGGAACACCACCACTAGTGTGCCCTTGAGTAAGGCACTTAGCCCTTAGTTACTCCAGGGAGAATGTCCCTGTAATTGGTAATTGTAAGTTGCTTTGGATAAAAGCGTCAGCTAAATGAAGTGTAATGTAAAATATTATATATTTATTTATAATGGCATGGCAGTATTTGATGCAAATAATACACAGGAGAATAATAAAAGTAAATACATTTAAAAAATATAAAAAATGTACCAGTGATGTTCAAGTAAAAACAGTTGCAAGAATCCTGACAAACATCAGATGAAGCCATACAAATTACAATAATAGAAATAATAATGATAGAACAAAATTATAATAATTAGTACAAATACAAAAATAATACATTGGTGAATAAAGAAAAAAAATTAATTAAAAAAAACAATAATATGTAATAAATATAATAGAAATACAAGATTACATGGGTAAATAAATAAATAATATATATATATATAAAATGACCCACTTTTGTTCCTCTCTCTCCTCTCAGCCCGTCCACAGCCGTCACCCCCACCTCCTCCTCAGCCTCCAGCCGCCTCGGCTCCGCCCAGGTTCCCACCACCTCCATCACTCCCGTCACCCCCACCAACACCTCCATCACCTCCCCCACCGCCTCCTCCCCCGCTACCGCCGCCGGGACCCCCAACGCCTCGCAGCCCACCCAGCTGAGGGACCTGCAGAGCATCCTGGCCACCATGAACGTCCCCTCGGGGGGGCAGGGAGGTGAGAGAGTACACCAGAAGTACTGAGAGGAAGTAACTAAGTACATGTTGATGCAGGGGGGTGAGAGAGTACACCAGAAGTACTGAGAGGAAGTAACTAAGTACATGTTGATGCAGGGGGGTGAGAGAGTACACCAGAAGTACTGAGAGGAAGTAACTAAGTACATTTTGATGCAGGGGGGGGGGGGGAGAGAGTACACCAGAAGTACTGAGAGGAAGTAACTAGGTACATGTTGATGCAGGGAGGTGAGAGAGTACACCAGAAGTACTGAGAGGAAGTAACTAAGTACATGTTGATGCAGGGAGGTGAGAGAGTACACCAGAAGTACTGAGAGGAAGTAACTAAGTACATTTTGATGCAGGGAGGTGAGAGAGTACACCAGAAGTACTGAGAGGAAGTAACTAAGTACATGTTGATGCAGGGGGGTGAGAGAGTACACCAGAAGTACTGAGAGGAAGTAACCAGAGGTGGCAAAAGTACACACATCCTTTACTCAAGTAGAAGTACAGATACTCGTGTTTAAAAATACTCTGGTAAAAGTAGAAGTACTGACTAAACTTCTTTACTCAAGTAAAAGTAAAGAAGTATGGGCTTTGAAATGTACTTCAGTAAAAAGTACCCATAACTAGCAGCTGTTTTAAAGAGTACCTGACCTCCCTTTATATTAATAGAACAATAATGTCATTGTTAGCTAATGAATGTGAGTACTTCTACTTTTACTCCAGTACAAGATGTGAGTGCTTGTACTTTTACTAAAGCACAGATCTGAGTACTTGTACCTTTACTAAAGCACAGATCTGAGTACTTGTACCTTTGCTAAAGCACAGATCTGAGTACTTGTACCTTTGCTAAAGCACAGATGTGAGTACTTGTACCTTTGCTAAAGCACATATGTGAGTACTTGTACCTTTGCTAAAGCACAGATGTGAGTACTTGTACCTTTGCTAAAGCACATATGTGAGTACTTTTACCTTTGCTAAAGCACAGATGTGAGTACTTGTACCTTTACTAAAGCACATATGTGAGTACTTGTACCTTTGCTAAAGCACAGATGTGAGTACTTGTACCTTTGCTAAAGCACAGATCTGAGTACTTGTACCTTTACTAAAGCACAGATGTGAGTACTTGTACCTTTGCTAAAGCACAGATCTGAGTACTTGTACCTTTGCTAAAGCACAGATGTGAGTACTTGTACCTTTACTAAAGCACATATGTGAGTACTTGTACCTTTGCTAAAGCACAGATGTGAGTACTTGTACCTTTGCTAAAGCACAGATCTGAGTACTTGTACCTTTACTAAAGCACAGATGTGAGTACTTGTACCTTTGCTAAAGCACAGATCTGAGTACTTGTACCTTTGCTAAAGCACAGATGTGGTTTCTGCAGTGGATCTGTCCAGCGTGCTCACCCCGGAGGTCATGGCTCCCATCCTGTCTCACCCCGAGGTGCAGCAGCGTCTCTCTCCCTTCCTCCCCTCCGGAGAGTCTCTCCCTCAGAGCAGCGAGGAGCTGAACAACACTCTCAGCTCGCCTCAGTTCCAGCAGGTATCAATATCATCCTCAATACGTCTGATTGAGTTCAGTGCCAACATGTTGCTTCCTCATGTTCATTTAACACCGCCATGTTTACGAGAGTTACGGACGTTTGTATATAAAATACTTCTACCTTTGTACTGTGTGTGTGTGTGTGTGTGTGTGTGTGTGTGTGTGTGTGTGTGCCCTATTTTTCATTAGTTTTACCGAAAAAATTGTATTTAAAATAACATTTCCAAAGAAATAAATCCTTCGAATCTGCCTGTTCAGTCTCTGTTGAATGTGAAGGGTTACATGAAAGAAGCTCGTCTGGCCCTCTCTGCGATTCACAGAGGGCCCGCTATAGTAACTGAACGAGAGAGTAATGTCAAATGACAGTACAATTGACCAATCATATCTTCCCTCTAAATGGGTGGGTTTTATTATCGCAGACTTTATGACAAGTTCCGCCCGCTGTGAGACTTTTCTTGTTTCCATAGCAACAACAACTTCCTGTCAACAGCGTGAACTCGCCTTCAAAATAAAAGCATGCCAAATTACACTTAAGACATACAACTGCAACGAAAGTAACAAACACAATGCAATATCATTTTCAATGTCAAAGAACACAAATTGGGTTCACAGGTGTTGTTTTGTGTGGTAGAGGGTCGCTGTCATTGATGCGTTTTGCACCCTGGGCCGTTGTTTTGATATTCCGCTGAAGTATACGCTGTGACGTAATAACTATTTTTTTTTCTTTTTTTCAAGGGAATTGGTGGGGGTCAGAGGGCCTAGGTATAAAGCTCACGGCTCGCCGCTGTATTTGAGATACTATACTAAGTCGTTTTTGTCTGATATTTTCAACATACTATAGTTTGACTTTTTAGTTAATAACCTCTACAGTGATGTTTTTAAACAGACTTTAATATGGACTTGAAACACTATGATTTTTTAAATGTTTTTTTCAGACTTTTTTTCTGAAATGTCAAGGAATCTAAATAAATCTTCCTCCAAAGCAAACATACATCTAGGTTTTATTGACAGAACCATGTATTTTGTAATTTAACTCAGTATTTTGTACGCTATACGATACGATAATAATGTAATGGTTAGATCAAGTCTGACATTTTACATCACAGCAGCTCCATTTGCAACATCAACAAGGACAGATATGAAGACATGATATTATTTAGATTCCTTGACATTTCGTGAAAAAAAGTCATAGTGTGTCACGGAAGTTGATTGACTTTAGATCTATTTTTCAGAAATGTTTCAGACATACTGTGTTTTTTTCTTGGAATTTTCATAATTTTTTCTGAAATGTCAAGGAATCTAAATCATGTCTTCATATCTGTCCTTGTTGATGTGTCATAAACTACAGAGTATAGTACGTCTAATATTTAAAAAAACGACAGAGTATAGAATGTTGAATATTTCTATATCCCTTACTTAAATGCAGCAGGGTTATTAATCCAGAAACAAATATATATATAATTGGGAACAATTGAATGCACCATTACCACTAGAGTACTTAAATACCTACACACTTTAACTAAAGTAAGTTTTTGAATGCAGGATGTTGACTGGGTTATTTTCACAATGTGGTTTTGATATGTTTATTTCAATAACTTTGTTGAGCTTCTGTTAAGCTCTATTTCTATCTCACTGAACGTAGTCCCTGTGTGTGAACTGGTTCAGCTGGTTATGAATCAAGAGGAGGAGCTGCACACAGGTGAGGGTGTTGAATTACAAATATGAAGTCAGAGTGCCAGAAGCCATTTTACACCTGGACGGAGCAGGAGGAGAACAGGGTGAGTGTTAACACCAGGATCTGCTTTTTAACACATTATTTACTCTGTTTTACTGGATGTCAGAACATCAGCGTCCTAGAGTCCAACGAGACTTCTACAAGTGTTGTAAAAACATTTTATTTCCTCTTTTCTGATTCATCAAAGAGTAGTAGCAGGATGAGAGTCCTAATCCCTATAAAAGGGCAGAGGTTTCTAGCTGGCTGTCTCTTGTTTGTTGATACACAGACCCGCCCCACTTGCGTGTTTGCCGTGTTTGCTCCCGCCACCGGTGCAGGTATGTTGCAGTAGCATTGCTCGCTTCAGGAAAAGTTCTGCAATTTGCCAGCGTATTGATACTTAGCCCTGCTTTGCCTTGCTTAGTGTCGCCTCGTTTGTCGTTTACGTTCATCTTTTGCTACAGTATATCTGCCTTCCTATGATCACTTTGATGCACATTCAGTACTCGTATGTGAGGTTGTGGGTGAGAGGTCGATATCGTGACGCTTACAGGGAGGTATCGAACATTACAAAGTAGGTGACTGTGTGGATGCCTGTTCAAAACATTGCAAACTTGAATAAATCATTTAAATTATATATTTGTGTCCGACTTTCATTTGTACATCGTTCTTAATGTGATGTATAGTAGCTTTGATAGCTGTCCATACCTTCAGAGAGCCTAAAAGTAAAACACAAGTTGTTTATTCACAGCCCGAACGTTCATCGAGATGACTGGATCACTCATGACAAGTTGTGATCAGCTCCGATTAAATTGTGATATAAATTCTGTAGCTATTCTCCAGGGAGCACGTTTTTTTATGAAATACCTGTATCCCTCTCATCACAACAAGACTCTACAGTCTACACTGTGCAGGAAAAACAATTACATACATGAAAATAACCTTGATGCATGGGAATGAAACACACAAACTATCTTCCGTGGCTATACTGATATGTCACAGTAACGGTCAACCACAGAAAAGTAAGTCCAGCGGGGCACAAGTTGAATACATATAATACGGTAGTTCTATTATGCCTTTAAGCCTATATGTTTAACCCATAAGAACCCGGACCCATTTCTACTTTTGGGGAAATTAAGGGGAACGTCATTTAGAGTAAATAGACCACCTAGAACACATTTCTGACAAGTAACCCCCCCCTAGTGTCAAATATCCGGGCTTTAATGGCAAAGTAACTCTTATTTATAACTTCATTAACGAGGATGATTTTTTGGTTTACATTTGTTTGAACATACTTTGAATTGAAGAATAAAGAATATGTTAACTAAATATAATTTAATCAGCTAAATTAACTGACCAGATCATAATCATATTTCTAACGGTACGTCTACACAGCAGCGTTAAAAAAATCTTGAAACGCTTCTGCCCATTCACTTTGAATGGGGTGACGTCACTTTCCCTCACTTTTCGCCGAACTGCATTGTGGGCAGGCGAGCAGAGATTTTCAGGATTTTCAGGATTCAAAGTTGAGCAATGTTCAACTTTTGAGGCTGAGGTGGAAGCGTCAGCCAATCAAATCCCGTGTACGCAAATCTGACAGTTCAAGCTCTAGCCAATCAAACGGCGTGTATGCTGGGAGAGACATACCGCAGGTCATTTCCTCATATTCCAAAAAATGGAGGAGAAATTAGCGGTAGGGAATCACCCGGTGCTTTATGACCAGTCCCTATTTACCTACCGGGATACAAACCGGAGGAGCCAGGCATGGAGGGAGGTGGCAGAGACAGTGGTAGGTTTTCGCCTGTTTGGGGAGTTTATATCCAGTTTACTTCAAACTTTTTTGCTTCGTATGTCGGGGGCGGGAGATTCATGTGATTGGTTGTTGGTGCCTTGCTCGCAAAAAATCCCCAAGCTTCAGATACGCCCACCTCCAAGATTTTTTTAACGCTGCTGTGTGGACGGTCCGTTACAGTTATGAGACAGACTCTCTGACACAGAGACCGTTGTTCAGCATTATCACCCTGAACATCACCAAGCGCTCCGTCCCAGCTGTGTGCGTCACTCTTGTTGGAGTAGAATACCTCTGCTACGTGCCGTTCGTTGGATGAGGCTGGATCTCTATTAAATTAAGAAAGGAATTGAAAACACCGGAATCAAAGTTATAACAAATTATCTGAGTTTACTTCTAGTAGGAAACCAAACACATATACAAGTTATACAGAGTACTCCGGGTACTCCGGACTTTTAGATTCGTGATGCGATGCGGCTAAAATGTATCGGGATCAAACCACCCATCGAACGAGAAGAGAGTGCCTTCTGTCAATGATGCGATGCGGACACAGTTTAACGGAGTCAACCACTCACCAAACCCAAAAGCATTTTTACACACACAAACATCAGTATTTCTATCTACTTTTGGGGCGGAGATTTGTCGATTCTTCCTTCCCACTTTTCTCCCAAGCGAATTAGAGAGCCCCTGGGGAGGAGCTGTTTAAACTGACCACCTCCCCCAAGTGTCCTGATTGGCTGGATTCGCTTCTGGCCGAGGTCAATCAGAGTTTTCGAACAGAGTGAGACCCCAAACCACACTAGGTCAAAAGTCAATGTTTATCTTTACCTTATCTTACTCTACATTCCTTCCCAGGGGATATTTTCACCTAAACCATTCTCCCACAGACATTTAAACTCTCTTCCACTTATTTTACGATGTCTTTTAACGACTTAGTGACCGCATCTGGCTCTTAGTGGTGATAAGGATCAATGTTGGTGTGTGAAACACAGAATCTCTAAGTCAGTGAATTTAAAAGTGAGAATAACATTCCTATTCTAAGTGATTATCAAAACCCGTTTGTGATTACATAAAACAGTTCAAACAATACATGTTTACTTCAATACAGTGTAGAATCATATCTTCTTACTTCAATCCCTCTTTTGATCTCACCTCACGAGATCAACATATAGCATTTGAAACATTACCACTGTCAATTTTCTTCTTACTGTGTCTGTCCCAACATTTATATAAACCCATCAGAAGTTGGGATATAGAGCACTTTAAACCTTTAGGAACAGTCCACAACAACAACAACTTATTATGACAGTGGAGGGAGAATAAAATATGTCTAAAAAGCAAAGTCCTTGTCAGCTGAGTCATCTTTACTCTTCCCTCAATGGTGGAACTGATGAGTCTAACACACAGTGAGCAGATACAAGGCACACAACAACAACAACCACATGTCACTAAAATGGCAATAAAAGTAGCCACAGAAATTAGAAAAGACATTATCATACTTTTCCCTCTTTTGGTAACACATAGTTCTGTAGAATAAAAAATACCAATCCCTTATATTGTGGGATATAAAAATAAAGTTGAAAGTTCCTCAAAAAAAAAATGGATTGTTCAGACAAAGTTCCACACCGGCTATATCAACCTGTTTCAGCGGGAAATGGAGTTCCCTGTGCCGTCTTGGTTTGCCATATATTCGTCCCCCCAGCCCGCTGACGGCGGCTTCTGGGGTGCCTGCTAGAGAGATGTGGCCTGATTGTCCTCCCCCGGCCCGCTGATGGCGGCTTCCGGGTCGATGCTGGAGAGATGTCCTGATCCTCCTCCTCCGGTCTGCTGATGGCGCCTTCCGGGTCGACTGTTGGAGAGATGTCCTGATCCTCCTCCTCCGGCCCGCTGATGGCGCCTCCTGGGTCGACTGCCTTGACGAGAGCCAGATCTGTTCTGATGTCGTCTAGGGTCCTCGCGACGAGGGCCAACTCTTTCCTGATGTCGTCTAGGGTCCTCGCAGGTGTTTTTCCCGACCGCACACTGGCTCCAGTGGTACCAGTTGTCTCCCTTTCCATCTGAGCGGACGGCATGGGAGGTCCCCTCCAACCAGACGTAATCTGCTGTGTTGGCCTTGTGTTTCTCGGGTCCCCCTTTTGACGTCAGCAGCCTGTGTGGAGAAGTCTCATACCAAGCCCTTAAGTTGCTGGAAATATGGTTTTGAAATCATCTTTTCTACTTCTTTAGTGTTTATTGGCGGCACCAACTAGACTGGAGTGTGGACAAGAGACTATGCAGAAAATAATAAACAAAAATTAAAATTAAAAATTAAAAATTAAAAATTAAATTAAAATATAGAACAAAAATAAAAAATAAAACAAAAAGGAACAAACTAACAAAACAAAAAATAACCAAAGCTAGATTATTTTAACTGTATCAATTTCTCTTAAAAGCAACAAATAAAACAAAACAAAAAATACCATAACTAGTATTTTAAATTGATAAATTTCTCCTAAAAACGTAATAATCTCACATACATATTGTCTGATGTATATCCTATCCTTTTCCCCCTTTTACTGAAATAGAACGCCGTTAACGGTGTTCCCATTTTCAGAAATATCGAGCCTTATACATCAGTTATTTAATATCAGCTATATATTTATTATTACTATTACTTATATATCAGGCATTAAATGTCAGCCTTCTTCCATGATTGACCTCGTCTATATTATCTGACTTATATTGATACGTGTCTGTTTGTATTTATTTAATATACTGGGCAATTATTGATAACTTTTCGAATCTCCCTCTTTTCTTAACAACTTGAGGTATGGCTATTTTGAAATCTGACTTGGTTAAGAGATGATTCGTTTATTGGTGAGAGGCCCACTCTTGCCCTCGTGATTGGGTGGGGGTGGATATTTAGGGAGAGTTCCTTACAATCTCCAGATCTTCC